AGTTAAACTGCTCATCAACCGTGCGGTTTTACTGCCTCCTTACCACCATGTGAACAAGGCCAATCTACCAACAACCTTGTAGTAGGGCTTGCCAGCTTGGATAAAAAATTGATTGCATAGATAGTTTAGGTAGGTCCTCATATTACATAGCTTTTGGTAAATGTAAAGGAGTTTGACTTTGCACAAAGATTGTAAAGTCAGATTGTAATGTGTATGGTAAGTTTACAGTTTCAGAAAACAATTTCATCAAACCTTTAATGTTTTTTTAAAATATAAAATCCATATTTATTATACACACAATTAAAATCAGTTCTTAGCAGATGAGTATCTTTTTAGCTTATATTGTTTAGACCAACGTCATACTAGCCCAGTAACAGGATCACTAGATATGGGCAAAAGAAAAAAACATGTTTCTTTGGTGTCGCTGACCGAAACAGCTGCCTTGCAGGTGAGGGAAATTCTGCAGGGGTTTCGGCAAATAAGGAAGTGATTCCTCTTTTTTTCTCTCTAGTGAGGGAACAGCACTGTAGAAACAGGTGATTTTTGTGCCCTCTATAGTGATTCTGTCACTGGTGAGTTGCCACTAGTCACTGAATCTCTAGTTAAAGTCAAGATGAATTTTTTAATTGTTGGAATCTTTACTCAATTTACCAATGAACTTAATTGCTGTATAGCCTGCATACTTGATATTAGAGATGAGCAAATGTTTGTGTTCTTATTGAAGTCAATTGTGGGGGATCATGAAAATCAATTTTGTACATTTTCAAGACTGACTAATGTGCAAGGGATGGTCAAAAAGGGCATGGGGATATGGGCACTGCCCTAGGGGTCATGTGCTATTGCAAATAGATTAGCTATGGCAATAGGCATGATTCGAGGATCTACAGTCAAATGAAGATACTCCTGAGTTTAGTGTCACTTTAAGCCACAATTACAGACCCATCACCCAGTGAATTGTATTTTTTCAGTTTTTGTTTTGCATTGCTGCATATCCCCCATGGCAGTGCCCAGCTACCCTCCTGTTCTCCATAACATAAGAGGTGGTGTTTGTGGTGCACAATGTTGGGCACAATGATAGATGATGGATGATAGATGGGCACAATGTTAACTGAGTAAAGCACAGGCAAAGAGCACAGGAAGTTATCACTCACAAGATTTCTGGCAGGACCAACAATTATTTTTTGCATGTATCGAACAGATATAACAAAAAGGTTTCTACTGATATATAACAGAACAATAGGGAGCAAATAAGAGTTAATTGTTCATGTTTGCATACACTTTAATGCAGGGGTCCTCAAACTTTTTAAACATGGGGCCAGTTCACTGTCCCTCAGACATTGCTGGGGGCCGAATCATAGTTTGAAAAACCGGGGGGCGTGGCTGTGGTGCCGCACCGCCACGCCCCCTCCCGTCCCAGAACAAAAGTTTTTTTTTACATTATGTTAGGAAACATTTATTATCACCCAATTTTTTGGTAAAATATAAAAGTCGGGGTCAAGTCGGGTAAATAGACACCAAACATGTCAAGCTTACAAATTGCGCGCACTCGCAAAATCGGAAAAAAACACCATACCCAAAACTGACCATAGGCGACGCTTTAAAAGCTTTTACCGCTCATCAGTTTAGTGTTATTAGTGATTGATGACCCTAAAATTATTGCTCTCACTGCGACGTTCGCGGCGATATGTAACATGTGCGCAATCGTCGTTTTCGCAGGTATGCGCACCTGACGCATGTTTGCATGCGTGTATGTATGGGGGGACTTTAAAAAAAAATATGTTTTTTTAATTCTTTTTTATGTGTAACTTTAAAACATTTTTTGGGAAACTTAAATTTTTTTTTTTTTCCTTTTTTTTCACCTAACTTTATTGCTATCACATAGGGGGCTAAGAAACCCCTCCTATGTGATAGCAAAATATGTGACAGGTCCTCTTTATGGAGACATCAGGGGTCTCCAAGACCCCTAATGTCACCTAGGACCCCCGAAGAAGCTGATGAAGTGGAGGTCTGCTTCCAGCGTCTAAAGTTGGAGAGTGACACAAGAATGCGGAAGTGATGTAATATACATCACTTCCGCATTCTTACAGCGGAGAGGGGACCGGAGGGAGTTCGTGTACCGACCTCCCTCTGATCCCCTGTCAGAGTGGCACTGTGCTGGTCCCGGGCTCGCACCGGAGCCCGGGATCAGCGCGACAACGGGAGGAGGGGCCGCGGAGGGAGGGGGGGACACGGGCCG